ACATTCACTCATGCCCCACGTGTCAAGTTGTCAACCCCTCGAACCGGGCCAAACCCGGCAAGCTCCAATCATTGCCCATCCCAACTCACCGATGGCAGTCCATCTCCATGGACTTCGTGTGCAGCCTCCCCAAGACCGACCGCGGGCATGATTGCATCTACGTCATTGCCTGCCGCTTGACCAAACGTGCCCACTTCGTCCCTTGCACGACCTCGCACAGTGCCAAAGACATCGCCACACTCTTCTTCGACCATGTTGCTCGCCATCACGGCCTCCCCGAGAACATCATCAGTGACCCCGATCCTCGCTTCCTCTCACAATTTTGGAAACACCTCTTCACGGCCTACGGAACCACGCTCAAGTATAGCACTGCATTCCACCCACAGACCGATGGACAAACAGAGAAGATGAATGATACACTCCAAAGAATCCTGCGGAAGTATGAAACATCCACACCAACACGATTGGGATCAGTTGCTCACAGCCGCCGAGATTGCCTACAACAACGCCGTCTGGCCTTCCACCGGCATGTCCCCTTTCTAACTCGACCTGGGCTACCACCCTCGCTTATCCTCCGACTTCTTGCTTCCTTCGCAGCTTAACCCATCCACCCCCTGCCCCTCTCTCAATGAATGGATAGCAACAATGAACAAACTCATGAGAAAAGCCTCCGAAGCCATTGAACGAACCCAAGAACAACAAGCCAACAAGACTAACAAACATAGACGCGACGTATCATTCAAAGTAGGGGATAAAGTCTGGCTCTCTGCCAAACGCTTTGAACCTGAACACGACTTGCCCAAGCAACTCTCCAACAAATGGCTCGGTCCCTTCCCCATCATTGAACAAACCTCCGTCGTTAACTACAAACTCCAACTTCCCCCTGACATGAGTCGTGTCCACCCAGTCTTCCATGCTGAGTACCTAAAAGAATACTATGAATCCCCGCCCCAGTTCGCCGACCGCCCATATCCTAGACCTCCACCAATTATGCTACCCACAGGCCCGGAATTCGTTGTCGAAACCATCATCGGCCGACGAACCACTCAGGTATCTGATCAACCGGAACCAATCACTGAATACAAAGTCAAATGGACCGGATACCTCGACGAAGAATCTACATGCGAACCTCTCTCTAATCTTAAGAACGCCATGAAACTTGTCCGCGCCTATGATCGTGTTAATCCTATGTCCTAGGTACCTATATAACTATGGCATAAACCCTGCTGCAACCTCGCAACCCCGCTCTACACACACCCGTGAACCCAGTCCACCCTCCCCTTGACCTTCATTCCTGATGTCTGATCTGCCCTTGCCCTCGCCTAGCTTTGTCCCATCTGTCCTCTCCACTACCTTGTCTCTCTTGTCCAATGCTTGTGAACCTACGTGACGCCGGCGATAAAGGATCTAATGGCAACCGCACGAGGACGATGGCCTGCTGCCTCACTGTTCATGGACATTATGCAGCTGGTTTGGCCACCATGTTGTTTCATGGGTCGGCATCCCGACTCGCGGACTTACTGGAGCAGCAACTTGTGACATGGATTTTTGCATCAGTCTGCGACTTCCTTGCTTCCAGATCAGACCTCATTGCAGTTCGTGTACCGGACGCACCCTAGCACTTGGACTTTACCTGTCGCAGCCGCTGAAGACCGCTTCTGCCACCTACTCCAAAGACCTGATCAAGACCGCTGCAGACCCCCTTTCAAGACACTTGGACACTTTGTTCCTGCATGAGATTCTGCTTCCGACTCCTTCGGACACACCAGCGCTTGCATCCTGAACAAACATTTTCATTTTTATTTTTCCTGACTTTGACAACCCTGTAGAACATCATTAGCAAATCCCTGTTTCCATAACCATTGTTTCCGTACCCACTAGAACATCCATAGACATCCCCTGTTCCCCTGACCATTGTTTCCGTTACCCAGTAGAACATCAATAGAAGTCCCCTGTTCCCTGAACTCTGTTCCCCCTTAACCTATAGCAAACCATGCAGTCCCTTTAGTTCATCACTAGGACTACCCTGCTCCCTACCGTCCCTTTAGTTCATTTGTAGGACTACCCTGTTCCTTGCAACCCCCCCTAGTTCATCAGTAGGACAACTCTGTTCACGGGTACCAAACCCTGTTCCCTCTTACTCCCGCAGCCCATGCCACCCACATTATACCCCTCTTCCCTTTCGACTTGTTAACTAGTGATCGGCCCCGTCCCGTCCTTCACAGATTTCAGCATTGCTTCATGATTTTTGGCAGCCGGGACGTTGCCTTCTAGAGGGAGGGGACAGTGTTACGGACTCCGCCAGGGCTCGATTCCTGGTCTATCTTTTTGCTGTTTCGGCTGCATCCCGTTTTCGGCCTGGCACCTTTTTTCCAAACCCCTCGTTTGGTACCGTAGGATTTTGGACAACTGGCGCCATGCTGCAATTTGGGCGTCACTTTCAAATACCGTATATTTCAGTTCTGCCCTCGGGCCCTTTGCAGAAGTGCCCCTGGTACCGTACGTGTCACCGATACCGGCTCCCCGTACGGTACGGGGACCAGTCTCGTACCAGTTTTCTGCTGCTGTACTCGTACTCAGTGTGACTTGCTGTTTCGGCATTCGCAATCCAAGACTTTGACTTTGTGCCTTGCCACTGTGTTTGCATCCGACCCTCAGTCGTGTCGAGTGAGTGAGTGTGTGTGTGTGCTCTCACTCTCCCCCTCTCTCTCTCCTCTCCCTCGGCTCTCCCTCAGCCTCACGCCCGTCACACTATTCGCACAGGTGTCTGGGTGTGGGTACTCAGTTCTGAGTTGTTACGAAACGAGGACATCTCACCAAAGTTGTTGACACGATACATGGGTCCATGGCAGGTTTTAGATACAATGGGGGCTGATCCTTTTGGGCCATCCTATGTTGTCGATGTTCCCCTGCATCTACAAACCTACCCTGTCTTTCATGCATCTAATCTGCTGCCTTTTACTTCAGCTGGTGCATTCCCATACAGACCCCCTTGATTTGGTCCACCGATCCCTGGGACGGGATATGAAGTGGAGAAGATTGAGGATGAGATGGGTACTGGCTCTGATGTGCAGTATCTTGTGAAGTTCCTGTACCAGCCACATACGGAAGATCGCTGGTTTACACGTAAAGAACTCAAGACAGCAAAGTCTGCTGTCCTCAAATATGAGGCAGCTAAGGAGGTATTATACCCTCGGAGATCTGCACGCCCGCAACCCTAGCTCGGAGGTCCTCGCTCCGGGGGAGGGTAGGTCTGCAATGACTTGCTGTTTTCTGCCGCCGGTGGCCCGTTGACCCGAAGCTGTAACATAGGCAGGATAGATTCCGTATTTTGTTTGGTTGAGGGCTAACCGAGAGACCTGCCTGTAGGGAAATTCGTGAGGGACATAACTGCATTCAGTAAAATCTAGGCCCACACTAACTAGGATTTCCTACAGCTATCCTTACTGCAAATAGCAGGCCCGGGCTACCCCTAGGACAGAGGCCCTAAAGGCCTATGCCAATAGACGGTCCTATAGCCTATGGCCGGGTAGGAGAGAGGCCGAGAGGCCGAAACCGAAACGGTACCGGTCGGTCCAGTCAGTCCGGTCTAGGTCGTGTCTAGGCTAGTGTAGTCTATAGATAGATTGTAGATATCTGTTCGGTGCTTTTGGCAGTTGGTACCGTGTATGTCGCTGCTGTGCAACGCATGAACTGGAAGTGGTGACAGCTTCAGCGTTGGAAAAGACGGACATAGCTGGACCTGCGGAGTGTCGGCCATAGCTGGGACCGACGTTGGACTTTGACAGCACGTGGGGCTGTTCAGAGGTCTGAGCTATCTGGAGTCTGCTGGAGGCGAGAGAGGTTGGTGCCCTGCTGAGCCCTCCTCAGGAGTAGGGTATCAGGGTGTGTGGCGCTGCAGCCATAGCTGCAGCTTCCTTCCTCAGAGATCATCTTTGTCATAAGAGGTGGCGCTGCTACAGACTTCCACCCGAGAAGTCTTCCGGCACTTCATCTTCATCAGATACTGTGGCGCTGGTCTTCTTCTTCATCCTCTGAGAGGCGCTTGGCCTCAGAGGCCTGTTTCACGGTGGCGCTTCCCTCTGGAGGCAGTATCTGGGTGGTGCTTGATGTTTCAGGGGCTCAGGGGCAGTTATAGCGGTTGTTCAGGGTTGGGGAGTGAAGCTGCTCGTTTCTGAGCAGCGCACCATGGTTCTGGTGTTATTCTGACATTTCGAGACTCTGAGTTTAATAAACAGTGGTTATAACTATCTTTGCTTCATTGTTTCCTGGATGTGATCTACTCGTCTTTCCTTTGTGACTGGTTGTGAGGATTCTGTGGAGCGAATTGCACTGTCAGTGTTTTCATTCATATTGCATGGTCAAGTCTTCCGCTGTGTTTATCTCTCCCTGTGCGGTGTGATACTTCCATCCTCTCCCCTTCCTTCTGTGTACGTATGGGCATACCTGGAAGTCTATGTGAGCAAGCGTTGGCTTTCTGACAACAAACAAGCAGGTTCATAACACAATGCCGTGGGAAATCCCTTGGGCCCGGCCCCTCGCCCGCCCGTTTCCCAACACTGGTAGCCTAGCCGCGGGAGCGTCATGCGAGACCTGGCTTGCTCTTTAAAAAGAGTATAGAAAAAAAGACAGGGACGTAGATTGAGTGCTGATCTTTCTAAGAAAAATATTAGAACAAGCAAGAATGATTTCCGCAGTGCCCCAAAACTCGGGGTGCAAAAATACCCACGGTTACTCCATGGTGCTACTGGTAGTCCCACACGAGTGGGCATGTAAGATACACTGAATCTTTAGCAGCTGCAGGGTTGTATGTCCTTTGTGGTCCGTTTTTGTGTGCACATGTTCGAGCTTATGACCTAGACGGAGTCTTTAGCAACTGCAGCATTTCGTACTCCTCATGGTTCATTTGTGCCCCCCTATTCATGGTCCCTACGCTTATCCATCTCTGTTTTTTGACAGGTTACTTCTCGTCGTTTGATGGGTGGTTCCTTGGCTGTCAGGTTCTTAGTACGTAAAGGTGCAGCTGGGCTCACGGCAACGAAGATGGAGAACAAGATTGGTCTGAGAATGGTTCAGAATGGGGACATTCAACTGCAGGCCGTTTTTGTTCCAGAGGAAGATCGGCTCACTGGCGTCAGCTCATTTCAAGATACGAACAAGGTATCAGCTGTGTGTGGTGATCATACTCGTCGAGTGTTTCACTGGTATATGAGTTGATGCAGCTGGAAAAAAAAAGTGGGAAAAAAAAAGTCGGAACCCAGCTAAAGAATAGCAAGAATGTGTATATGATGACAAAGGACATTGACTGATGCTCCCAAGAATAGGAATGAACCAGGACCTCAAGGCGCTGTTTTATTTTAAAGAGGGAAAATTGCGTCTGTACCCCACTTAAAGATGGGAATACCCGCTATACCCAGTCCCAGTGCCCAACTTGCATCTATACCCTTACCCCATTCAGCTTTGCATAGTACCCGACTGCAATCAGACTCAACTCTGGACTTGCTCACAACATGCACACTTGAGAACCGATGGCAAACCAAACTCTTCCAACTCAGAAACAGCAATGAACTTGCTTTTAAACTCTGTTCAGAACAACTGTACAACTTGCGGCTGTGGCCGCCGAACACTGTCTCTACCACCAGCCTCACTCTCCCTCACTCTCACATGTATCCACGTACGAGGATCACCCTGAATGTCCCCACTCAGCACAGCCTCACACACTCTGTACACTCGTCTACATCAACAGCTGGGCGGCTATGGCCGCTGTCGTCTTCCTCCTCCTAGCTATGGCCGCGGGTGTCTCCCTCGCTGGTTCGCTATGGTCGCTGTCTTCTTCACAGCCCACTTCTTCTCCGGGCACTTGCAGACCTCCACGCACAAGTTACCAAGGCATCTCTTCCGCATGGCTCACAGGCGAATGAATGAATGGCTGGACGCTGCCTCTTTACGTGTGGGCCTGGGTCAAAACGTGTGGCCCAGGGAAGTTTCCAGACGTTTGGCCTTCTGGGTCAAAACGTGTGAAACCCACAGCCTGTTCCAGAACCTTCCCCACGTGCAGCCCTTACCCCTGGTACTTGCTGACTGGACTGGCCTACAGGGACCTACGACCTTCTAGATTATACAGACCTACAGACAGATTCCAGTCCTCAACAGACTTCGTAGAGACTTCTAGAACAGACTTCCTAAGCCTGTCGGTAACAGACCTAGCTGCTAATCTACAGACCTAGGGATCAAGTCCTACTGCCCAAACTACAGACTAATTTGGGATGTGAAACAGGTCTAGGGGTTGAATCCTACTCGGCACACAGGGTCTATGTACAGGTATAGGGTAGGTCTAGGGATCGAATCTCACTTAGCACACAGGATCAATGTACAGGGTTGTGGCACAGGTCTAGGGATCGAATCTCTGTGACTGCAATGTCAGGTCAACTGGGTGAAACCGTTTCACTCCCGCTGTCCTAATTTCGAGGTCCTCCGAAAACACCCTAACTCAAGGCAGGACCTTTGCCCTTTCTTTCCCTCTCATAGGCGTGTACTATGTCGGGAGCGGTTTCCAAAAGCTTTGTTCTTGTGAACCATTGGTCGTCCTCGGGTTCCTGGTATGCGAACTGAACTTTATACTGCTTCTGGGGACGACCTCGACATCCTGTCCTAAACAACAGCAAATGGCATGGAGATACAGGCTGTCCCAAGAGAGGGTAAGACGATTGGAAGCGGCGGAAAAGGCAGAGAAGGATCTGAAAGCGGCGGAGACTAGGATGGGGAAAATCAGGGAAGAGACGGAGATAGCTACTAAGCTCAACACCCTGACTCAGGGCGTACAATCTTTACTAATTGCACACCACGAACAAACGCAGTATATTTGCAGTTTAGAAGTAAAGGTAGATGCAATGGGGGGGGTGCTCAGTGGCAGCAATCGATGCGTCAAAGCGAGCGAGTCGTTGATTTCTTCTCAGACACCACCGGGCTTGGAGGGAACGAGTTGATCATTATAGACCAAATGTTTCTCAATCACTGTCAGCATTAGAGCATGTGAGGATTTCTGTCCGTTTGAGTGTTTGTGCTTGGATACTGACTAGTTGTTTTGCAGGTTGCAGGAGCCACGAAACAGCTCTCCCGTGGGTGACAGACACGGGGCGGAATACAGAGCCGTTCAGGTGTGCCGGCAGATCCCATCCTCCAGTCGACACTGTGCCGTGTCCTTCAGGGCGCCCATGTCCACCTCCACTCTGTTGACGCATTCCGGGATGTTGGAGGGCCAACAGCTGTTGCTGCAACTGACCGCTGCTCCAAAGTGTGTACACAACCGAGCAATGACTGCATGTGCAGGTCCAATGTGAGTATGTCCTCTTGCTGGGCCATGCAGGTAGCCACCGAGTCCATGATTCGTTTGATGACCGTGGAGAAATTGCGTACGGTTGCGGAGGCACCCTCCTCCTTGACCGACGTGTCCCTGTCGGTGGCCAAGGTCAATACTCCGGCCTCCTCCTCAAATAATGCATCTCGGCGCGCTTGTCGTGCCTCATCTGCAGCCTGTCGTGCTGCCTCGTCGTGTGCTTGCTGCTGGAGTTCAGCAAGGCGACATTGTTCCTCATCTTCTCTTTCTCTCTTCTCCCAAGTGGCAAGTTTGCTTAAGCTCGAGCATCATGTCGGTCAGCCTGGCCTCATAGTCCTTGTCGGACTCATTGTCCTTGCGTTCCATCATGGTGGTCGCTGATCGAAGGATGGAAGGCATGTGTGGCCGGTGCTGATGTGGCAACGATGTCTGCTGATGTGGCCTGCTGATGTGTCACCATGGTGACATATCACTGCTGACGTGGCCTGCTGATGTGGCCTGCTGACGTGGCAATGTACCACTGCGGCCGTAGTGGAGAAGAGAAGGAAGAAGATGAAGAAGAACAGCAGAGTAGGTGGGGTGGGTGGGAGGGGAGAAGATGAGATTCTAACACTTCCCCACTCCCATGGGGTCACATCGATCTCCCAGATAAGGAGGCACTAATCAAAATTTGAAGAGGCCGAACTTTGCTGTTTAAAAAAAAATCGATAAAAATAATAACAAATTCGAAATTGCAAGCTCGGTAGGTCTCCCAATCCCCAAAATCCCGACATTGAAATAATTAAAAAAAAAAAAAGAATTTCGGACTGCAGATATAATCTGAAAGGCCTTCCACAGTTCAGACCCCAAATTCGAATTTCAGGGTCAAAGTTTCCAAATGCGTAGAGGCCCAGTCGGCCAGGTTCTGGCAGTTACCGTCAAATATCCCAAAGGTCAAGTCTGGCGCAGACCAGCTCAAGGGTCACGTCCTGAGACTAAAATGCAAAAGTCGCTTTCAGAAAAGTCACAGAAGGGTACCTTGGGTGTCAAGTCCAAGAGGCATCCGCTAAACAGTCACATCCCAGAGGCAAAAGTTGCGTTCTATAAGCAAAAGTCACGTCTCGTATTGAAGAGCCATATTGAAAAGTCGTATTCCACAGGCAAAGGACACTTCCGCAGGCAAAAGTCGTGTCCCAGAGGCAAGAGTCACAACCAATAGTCAAAAGTCATGTTCCACAGGCGAAAAGTTGTGACTCTAGGCCCAAGCAGCAGCACACCAATGAAAATTCGGGAAAAGTGCCAGACCTTGGCATTCTGAAGCAAGCAGGCCGTGGGGATGTGGTACCAGTACCAAGTCAAGCCACAAGAAGCAGAGGCTGGGACGAGTTGAAGCTCAGTCCAAGTCAATATAAGGACTGGCCAGCCACATTTTGGACAGATTGCTCATTCGCATCAAGTCTGGAAGTGTTGTTGCGTTTGTGCGCTAATGCGAGTGGCTGGGCGCTGAGGCCAGCGGGCTGCGCTATTGTGTGTGAGAGAGAAGGCAGCCATAGCTGCACTAGAGTTAGTAGCTGGCATTAGTAGTAGCAGAAGAGTATAGTAGTGGGTGTATTCAGAGCTGGTTCTCAAGTAGTAGAGAGTGGGAGTGCATGCAAGTAGAGAGAGAAGACACAATGAGGTCGTAGACAGAGAGAAGACCAAGAAAGAGAGAAGAGGGAGGAGCAGTGAGAGAGTCACATACTTGGATGATGATACTGGATACTGGTTACTTGGCATCACACGGTTGAGCGCTTGTGACTAGAACTCTTAATTGCTCATATGATAATTGTTGGAATTTTTAAGCTGCGCTCACCTGGACTTCAACTCTCTGGCCTCCAGTGTGGATTTTTTGTGCTCTCGTATTGTGTGTGTGTGTGCTCAAGGTGACGAACTGAGAGGTTCATTGCAAATTGTTAGCGGAGCAGGAAGCTCGCTGCATCCACTTGAGGTGCGCTGGCAATGATTAAGGCCGGTGAGGAGAGGAGTGGGAGAAGTCTGGCGCAGGGGAGTAGGCTGACGAAGAAGTGGCCGAAGTTGGGGATGGTGATTACGTACCTGCTTGCTGGAGCATTGGAGTGAATCGTGGACAGAGGTGGGCAACGGGTGCCCACAGCCGCACCCGCCTGCCCCACCCGACCCACAAGGTAATTGGGTTGGGCTTGGGTCTACGTATGCGTCCTTGGGTAGGTGACGGGCTTGTGCAGCTAGTGGGCATTTCTGGGTCATGGGCGGGTCAATGTTTGCTCTGGGTCCCCCTTCTCGTGGGTGACAGGTGGGTGAAGCGTTGGCCTGGGTCACCCGACCCATAGACTGAGGACCACCCAAAAAAATCCCCTCCCTCCCCCTTGGGCTCTTGGCGCCGTTCAGCCCTCCTCGCCCCCCCAACCAGAAAATAAAAACGAACAAGGCCTTGGGTCCATCTGTGCAGTCCACAGGCTCGAGGTTGAGAGAGACAAAAAAAGTGGGCCCGGGTGCAGTCACGCAGGGTCGCCTGTTACATCGGGGCCAAGATAAAAAAACAAACAGCGATTCCAGCAATTCAGCCCCTCGCCCAGTTTTTCTCTAAACAAAGCAGGGAGCAGTTCTAGCCACAATAAGCGGCCTGATCCGTCCTCTTTGAACTTCACCCTTGGTTAGCGAACTTGGCGAATTTGGAAGCCCCCCAACTTACCTGGCCTTACCGCTGCGTGACACCATGACATAGTGACACTGGCAAGCGATGCAAGGTAGAGAGGTGGCGACACCGGTGGAGTCGTGGGGAGGGCTGCATCGGCACAAGCAGGTGCGGACGGCAAAAAAATAGGTC